ACAGCCTGACTGTTCTCAGTCTTTTTCCTTTACATTTTTCTGTCAGGTATATTTATAATTCTATTATTAAATACTTAAAAAGCCATAATTGCCGGGAGTGCTGTTGGGAAGAAATAAGTAATTTTGTTGAAATTCTGTTCAATTTAATGAAATAGAAACCATGCACTATTTAGCTTTCCTTGGTGGAAAACTTTTTTAAAGATTTAACTCACTGATTTAGAAAATACAATGTACTAAGTTATACTTAATGTTTCTTTAATGGTTAGTCATCTTCCAGTTGTTTTCAATGATTAGCTGCTTTTATATAACATTTAACACAAAATCAAGTTAACATGAGGATCTAATTAATAAAGATATTACATTATCTGAGTGAGCGGACTAAATAAAACTTTATTATCTCTTAAAGTCTGCCTTTCTCATGTTTCAAATGGAAGGACACTAAAAATATAATAAAATGTGAAAAATTCATTTTGATAATTGGACATCTGATTTTTAGGATATATCTTCATTATTGCTACTCTGTTCTTCATCTGGATGTTCACATTTATCATAAACATGTACCTACACATTTCCTTCTAGCTCTTGCTTCAGCACCACTATTATGAGGCTGAATTCATGTCTTTATAAAATGATTATTCTTTGTCATGCATTTAATTGCCTTTTTTCAGGCCTTAGCTGATGTGGTCTGTCTTGTTTTTGATCCAAAATGCTTTACTTGTGTGTGTGTGAGGCTGGCTGAATTTTGCACAGATTGAGTATGACTTTATATGAAAGTGATCCTTTTATAAATCCCTTTTCACAACTATAACAGTAGATAAAATAGTAGTTTCTCATTGGCCCTTTTTCTCAAATGTGGACTAGCCCTTAAGATGATCTTGTAATCTTCCTTTTCAACAGTGTTCTTAGCTTTTTAGGGAAGGCTGATCAGATTGTTTCATTCTGCTGCTGCTTCTCTTCCCCTTTGTCCGTTAATCACCAAATTATCACTCGATTAATTTTATCTGGTGATTGGAAATATTGTGAATTGTGTGCTAATGATTTTCATTTCACAGAGGATTAAACACATGTAGATTAATTGACTCCTAAGTACAATTCTACACTTTTACATAAGTTACTCCCTTGATTTGATTATTTTGACAAAAAAACAAGTGAACTCTTCGCATGTCTCAGATTTGTACTTAACCATCCATTTATTTAATGATGCTAATTAAAAGCAATCATTGTCTCATCTCACTACTTTTACTTATTCAGATCACATCGTATGTAGGCAAACTTACACGATCATTCATGATGTCATCTAACTCAGTTTATAGAAATGCTGTGTCTTTTATGAGCTAATGTTCCCTTTCTTATCTTTTGTTCTGCTGAATGTGTTTCTGGTGAAATAGCATATATTTCTACTACATGTTAAAGTGTTAAGTAATATTAGAAAGGTTATGCAACAGTATTTCATCTTCATAATCTTTATAGAAAGGATGGCTCTTAGTTAATTTGTTCAGTGTTTGAGAGCCAAGATTTGACTGTAAAGGTTGCTTGGAGCTACCAGACTCAGATGTATTTCCTTAATAATAACTGAAGTAGTTAACTTAGAATGTTCTGCAAAATACCAATAAATATAGATTGCTGATAACTTGCAATATAGAATGACGTACACATGCATACAAACACATAAAATGTGGATTTAGTGTTACTACAAAACTCTGTTCATTGGTCCAGTGGTGAATCCCATAATGAAGATTGGCAAGGGAAGTTCCTTCTTGGCTGAATATTCCTTTTTGATTTCCTAATTCTCTGTTCACTGATAGTCTTCATTCCACATCAGTGTATGAGACTAATAACTTGTGTTTTAGACTGAGAAGCAATTTGCAAATGTTTTTAAATAGCTCCAGCTATTATCTGTTGCTACTCCATAGATCCATGCTGATGTGAAAACAGGAATGATGGCCCTAACTAATGCAAACTGAAAATTTCATGATACAAAATTCAGTATTCCCTGACAGAGATCATTATATTTTTCTATGAGGAGTAGGATCTTCATATAGTTCATCAATTTTCATATAGATATGAATCCTTCCATAAATTTATCTCACACACACATGTGCACACACAAACTACACTGGGATCATTATATGAGATATATTATTTTAAAACCTGTTTTTTGTTGTTGCTTTAACATAGTTTAAAGAGGCTTATTTTTATTTCTTTTAAAGCATCCTTCCAACTTATCTTTATCCAGTAGTCACTACACCTGTTCCTCCTTACATTCTTTCTTTCGATATTTTACTCCATATCTCTCAACAAATGATGTCATTCCTACTTCTAGATTGTTCGTTGTTAGGCTTTACTTTCGACTTTCCATTATCAAAGATAAGGATTTAGCTTTCTTTTACTCCCTTCACCACCACTACATACACATACTTCTATCACCCATCCTATGTATATTAGAAATTAAAATGTTACTTGTTTCCATGGTTTCCTATGTTCCTATCACAAATTCATTTCTGAACTCTCAATCAGTTTCAATTTAAAATACATATTCTACTCATTTCAACTGCTTGGAGATCTGTCTCCTAGAGTCTTTTGACCTGCCTTCGGTCAGGCCTGGTTGCTCCTTAGGTCCAGTGCATAGGTCTCATCTTACTGACCCACCTGTACCAATATGCTTCACCTTTCTCTTGGGTCGGGTCTCCGGCCAGCAGGCCCATATTCTATTTTCTTATTTACACCTTCATTTCTATTATGTAGTAACTTTCTGAGAAAGGTTCATTGGGCGTAAATTTTAGAGACCTTAAAAATCTTAAAATCTTAAAATGCTTTTTCCCCACCCTCATAGTTGATTTACAGTTTGCCTAAGTCTCTCTCTCTTGCTCTCAAAACTTAGGATCTCCCTTTGTCTCCAGTATTATAAAATTTTGCACAACATACCTTGATGTGGGTCTATTTTCAAACTAGAAAATCATGATTTTCAATTATGGGAAACTTACATGATTTATTTATATGATGATCTCCTCCCCTCTATGTTCTCAAACCTCTCTTTCTAGAGCTATTATTATTCAGATGTTGGATTTCCTGAGTTGATGCCTTAATTTAATTAACTTTTCCATCTCTGTGTTTTGACCGACATTATGGGAGATTTCCTGATCTTCATTTATGCAGTCATATTTTTAGAGCTCCTTATTTGCCATTTCATTTTTACAGCAACATGTTCTTGTTTCATTGATGTAATGTATTTTTATAAGCTGAAAGTATTAATAATAGTTTATAAGTTTGTACTTGCTTTCATATAATGTTTCTTTCAAGTGGCTTTGGTCTTTGTGTTTGTTTTGTTCTGGGTCTTTGATATTTGAGGCTTTCTTCATCTATCTAGTGACCCTGAATTAGTGGCTTATGAAGGAGAGAAGGGAGCACTATGAAAGCTGATTAGAAGCTCTGTGCACATGGGTAGATCTTATCACCTGTGGGCCTCGCTGTAGGATAATATTGCAGCACTGTTTCACTGAGAAACTTTTAATATCCCTGTCTTTAGGTGTTTTGCTTGTTCATGACCTGGTCAGATTTCTGAATAAAGAAGGCGTAAACCAGGGTGCATTGAGTTCTGGAGGCCATGTGGCATGGCGAGGGAGGAGGGGAGGAGGGGAGGAGGGGAGAGCGGGAGGAGTCAACATCCAGTGTAAATGTTCGCCGAGTGTTTGCAGCAGGTGGAGCCCCTGCCCGCCTCTATGCTTGGTTTCCTATAGTTCCTCACCGTGATGGTAAAAGGGAAAACAAGGCATCTCCATGATGCATTTATCAGATTCACCCTGCCAGTCTTCTGCAGGGGTGGGGAAGGTAGTAACTAGCCTGTAGGGACTGGGAAAGGACAGCCAAAGTTCTAGGGCCTTCTAAAACAGATTTAAGCTTCCTCCTGTTTTCAATATCCCCTTCTCTTGCACTTCTAAAAGTAATTGTGGTACCATTCTGGAGCCTTTGGGGACTGAGTGGTAAAACTTAGTTTGGCTCTGGCTTCCCCCAGCCTTTGGTAAGGATCAGCATTTTTGGCTTTGTTAAATCAGTTTCTGGCCCTGGCTGGGTGGCTCAGTGGGTTGGAGTGTCATCCTGTGTACCAAAAGGTTGTGGGTTCAATTCCTGGTCAAGGGTGTACCTGGGATGCACGTCTCATCCCTGGCCTGGTCAGGGTGCGTGTAGGAGGCAACCAGTTGATGTGTCTCTCAAATCAATGTTTCTATCTCTCTTTCTTTCTCTCTCTCTCTTTCTCTCCCTCTTTCCCTCCCTCTCTTTCACTGTCTCTAAAAGTCGACGGAAAAAGTATACTTGGGTGAAAATTAACAACAAAAAAGATCTAGAACCATTGCTACTAACATGGGTAGGCACTTTTGCACGTGAAAGCTGATGAGGAAGATGTATCTTTTGAAATGTATCTTAATGATACATTTCATCTTCCTACCCAGTTTTTCAGCTTTATTATTTCTAAGAATTTGTTTAAAAAATACAGGTTATACCTAAAGTAAAGAGACTCCTAAATAAAGAGACTGCTGGGAAGAGAGTTTTAGGGCCCAAATAATCTGGGTTTAAACGTTGGCTTCATGATTTATTAGTTGTGTGAAGATCCCTTTCACTTTTAGTCCTAATTTTCTCATCTGAAAACGGGAATGATAACATTTACCCACAGTATTTCCAGAGTGAAGCTAACCTGTGTAAAATAGTATCTCCTCAAGCTCCTTTCACTCAAACACAATTATTGTAATTTAATGAAAGGATTATGAGAATTTCTATATTCTATATGAGACATAGTTATATATGTAATTTATAACTAGACAATCTCTTATTTATAGAAAGTATACTTTTTAGTATAAAAACCATAAAAATACCTGTTTTCTGTTACAATGCTTAAATATCATGAACATGTAATATTTTGTCTGATGTCACATTATTTTTTGAACAGAGGACTCTGGCTCAGCTGTCACACAGGTACCTAAGTGCTGGCTCTCTCTTCTTTTCAGCAGACTTACTTGATAACATGCTTTTGCGAAGTTCAGGAAAACTAAACGTGGGCACCAAGAAGGAGGATGGTGACAGCACGGCCCCCACTCCTCGTCCAAAGATCTTGCGTTGTAAATGCCACCACCATTGTCCAGAAGACTCGGTCAACAATATTTGCAGGTGGGTCATATAAATTATGAAAACCTAGTGCTGATAGAACGTCATGACTCAAGACTTGTATGCTAGTGTTTGCAAGAGCACTTTTTGGGAGATAGTGCCCAAGCCCACAAACTCTCAGAGCTGTGCCTGTTTGTAGAGAAACATGGAGTTGCATTTTCCCCTGAAATGGTGCTCTGAGATTCTCCTTCCTCCAAGCATCACGGGTGCACAGAAAACAGAGAGCACAGGTCCTAGACTCCTTGTCAAGGAGCAAAACCCAATTATTTTCTTTTAAAAGACCTGATTCCCCCAAATTAATTCAGCAGCAGGGAGTATCAAATGTATGTTTTTTTGTTTTGTTTTGTTTTAACCGTTTGTCATGCTGCTGGTGTTAGTATTTTGGAAAGAACACTTAAGCTGCCAGGATTATAAACTGACTCTGGGAAGCAGTATGGTGACAGAGCTTATGAGAGCCTACCAGATGGAAGGAAAACCGTTGTCAAAGTATTAGAGAATAAACTCCTCGGCGGATAATTATGTTTGTATATTTTTAATATTTGAAACTGGACTATTTGCTTCTTTCTTCCATACACAACTTTATGCATTTTCCTGGCCACTCTAGCTGCATTTACTGCCCTGGGTGAGGACAACAGTGGGTAAAGAGGCACAGCCTGATGAGGCCAGGGGGGCCCAGGGAGAGGTGGCTGAGTTAAACAAGTGCAGATCTCAGAAATTAAGTTGTCAGAGAAGCATAGTCTTCCTCAAGACACATATTGGACCCAAATAAGGAGCTGGGCTGCTAGGTTAGAAGTCCAGGCAGAATATCTGGGCAGCCATTGGGGCCTTATTATCCAGAAAGGAGCATGAAGTTGAATGCATTTTTTTCTTCCTGAAACCATTTTTTAAAAAAGTTTCCTATGAAGTGGATCTGATATAAGCTTACCAGTCTTTCATGAAATATATAGCTCAAGAATTATATGTTAACCGAATGACACAGGGAGGAAAGTTGGGTATACTCATAAGTATATGTCTGATTTAATCAGCAAAACAAAAGCATGGTAGGAAATGCTTATTTCTTACCATTAGATTTTAGGGATTTAGTATCCAGAGAGGTCTGGGAGCTTGGCTCTTGTACAATAGAACAAGGTTGGGACCATCAAGTCTNCGAGGCCAGAGGGGGGCCAGGGAGAGGTGGCTGAGTTAAACAAGTGCAGATCTCAGAAATTAAGTTGTCAGAGAAGCATAGTCTTCCTCAAGACACATATTGGACCCAAATAAGGAGCTGGGCTGCTAGGTTAGAAGTCCAGGCAGAATATCTGGGCAGCCATTGGGGCCTTATTATCCAGAAAGGAGCATGAAGTTGAATGCATTTTTTTCTTCCTGAAACCATTTTTTAAAAAAGTTTCCTATGAAGTGGATCTGATATAAGCTTACCAGTCTTTCATGAAATATATAGCTCAAGAATTATATGTTAACCGAATGACACAGGGAGGAAAGTTGGGTATACTCATAAGTATATGTCTCATTTAATCAGCAAAACAAAAGCATGGTAGGAAATGCTTATTTCTTACCATTAGATTTTAGGGATTTAGTATCCAGAGAGGTCTGGGAGCTTGGCTCTTGTACAATAGAACAAGGTTGGGACCATCAAGTCTTGAAAGGTAAAATGATTCCAAAGCTCAGACAGTATTTCCTGGGACACAGTACCTTTTTGTAGTAAATAGAAAAAGTGTCAGGAATTTTATAGTTTCCTAAAGAAAGTCAGCAGGAGGAAGCATATTATGGGGAATCTTACTTTTTTCCTGAGTCTATATCATTAAGAATAAATATATGTGTGTCATTTAAGCCATAGTTCCAGTGATCATATGTTCAGGCTTTCTAAAATTATCCCAATTTCAAATATTTTGTTCTTTTTTCCTTATAGGGCATTGAAGTGTCTTAAGTTGATCTGGAAGACAGTGTTCAGGCAGGGTTACCTGCAATGTAAATTCTCTGTGGTGGGAAGGAGAAACTTGGCAAGTTCAAAGACTGGTTTTCCTAGAGTACAGGAAGCAGGAGAAGATGTGGAAGGAGTTGAGCCTGGAGATGCGAAAGATTACCAATGGCCTGGTGGGCTGTGTCACAAATGTTGCTCTTACTCCTGAGAGTATGGGAAGCCATGGAAGCTAATGCCTAAGCAGGAGTAGCAGTGGCGATTGATGTGATTTGATTTGCTTTTTTGGAAAATTTTCTTGTCTGAAGAGTATTGGATGTATTAGAGTGAGATAAAAGTGAGTTTGAGAACAAGTTAGGTAAGAGAAATTGAAAAGTGGATTCAGGAAGGAAGTTCAGGTGAAAAAAAATGACCTTGGACTAGGGTGATGCAGGTGAGAATTGGATGTGTTGGAGAACTATTTAGATAGAAAGTTTTATGCTGATGAATTAGATATGGGAGGGGCTTCACAAGTTTCTGGTTGTACATTTAGATGCATAGTGTAGCCTTTTGATGAAGGAGGGCAGAGGAAAAAGGTCAAGTTCCAGCCTGAATATGTTGAGTTTAAGGTTTCTGACACATCCAAGCGGAAATATCAAAGGGTAGGCATAGGATGTGGACGTGGAGCTCAGATGTGGAGAGAACATAGAGTAAAGCCTTAGTCAGTGTTTGCTATGAAACAAAGAAGCTCAAAATCACAGTGGCTTACAACTACAGACATTTATTTATTTTTTATTCTTGGGTCTGCAAGTGGGCTGCAGCTGGGTTGGGCTGTGCTGGGTTAGGTGTGGTTAGCTTTAGGCTGCTGCTTGAGTTCAGGCCTGCTCCACATGCTTCTTCATTCTTGGACCAGCAGCTGCCCAGGGCATATTCTTCCTCACATGAGTACGAAGGAGCAACCTTTTAAAGCTTCTGTTTGTGTCATGTCCTCTTAACATTCCGTTTACCCAATCAAGTGTCATAGTCTAGCTCAAAGTCAAGGAGACTGTATCTAGGGTGGGGCAGGAAGAGTTAAGAACAGTAACAGTCCAACCTCCCAGAGTAGGACTGAGCCTTGAGCCTGTAAAGGTGGCTTTCCCCAGGAAACTCAGAATTAGCAGCAAAGCAGCGAGTATGGTGTCATTGATGCCAAGTTTACAGAGTGAGGGTGCTGTTAGAGGTCAAATAGGGTAAGAGCTGAAATATGGCAGTCACAGTTATTGATCTTGATAACTGCAGTTGAGAAAATATTTAATATGGAAGTAAAGATGGAAGCCAGATGGGAATGGGTTGTGAATTATATAGTTTCAACCTTTGATTTATGATAGCAAAGAAAAAGAAAACAAAAATACCACCACTACCACCACAACAAAAAACCCCACCCAGCAGCAATAACAATGGAACGCCTCAAAAAACCTGGGTATACCATGACAGTCAACATGAATCAGTTAACTTGTAGACGTCAACAGAAAACTAGTATTTATTGAGCTTTTTATTAACACTAGCATGTTTACCTTTGCCTATCTTTAATCATCACAGCATTTCTTTAAAGAAGTAACATTATCTATATTTTTCAGGTAAGAAATCTGAGGCTGTGAGAGGTTAAATAACTTTTACTAGGTCACTGTTCATGCTGATACGATGAAAAAAATTGTGGCCAAGCATCCAAAGCCCTAGAATAAATCCAGGCCTTTCTGCCTCCATTCCTGGAAGCTCATGCTCTACTCTTTGACCTTCAAATCAGTACTTCTCAAGCTGTCTCTGTTGAAAGACACCTTTTTCCCTGCAATAAGTTGTGCACTGATACTTTTCTAAAGTATAATCAAAATGAATTATAGATTAATTAGAAAAATAAAATTTAAAGATATAAATTATGTGCTCCGTTTTTTCTATTTTCTATTATTTGGATTCAACAGAGCTAAATGTATTGCTATACAAATTTCAATTTCTATATTAACCTCTTCACAGACCAGTAACAAGCCATTTGCTGACCTGCAAGGGAACACCCTTTGAATAATACTGCACTGAATTTTGCATTGCTAGGTACAACATTTGTAAAGACAAGGGTGTGCTTGCTTGAGGCTTAGATAAGGGCTGGTCTAAGCTGTCTGACCCTCAGCCTTGTTCCAGGAAGGTCTTAGCCAAGCTGGGTGTCTAGGTAGGTCTCATGCTCATTCCCACTCTGACTTTCCTGGAGAGAGTAATCCAAACGGTGGCCCAGATTAAGAGTGCATCATACTTAAAAGAGATTCTGAAATCTCACATGGTAATTCAGAGAACATGTGAGAAGTTTAGAGGGTTTTTAAACTCTTCCTGAGTACCGTCAATCACGTTACCAGCCAACACCAAGGCCAAAGTCATTCTTGGCCTTGTTTCCTATCAGGTGCAGATGTGTCTGTTTCCAAAATCCATGCCATTTTCACTGCCTAATGGCATGCATGTGAGAAGATGTAGTGCAAATATGTCATGCTTTAGAGCCTTTTTTAATATCCATAATTTCGAGTAAGGAGTGAAGCTGTTGTCCTATCTCCCTCAAGGTAATATCTGTCTTCTAAATATCTTTCCGGGTGTTATTTTGCATTGTTACTCTTTCCTGTTCCATTTCCAGATTCTACTCCTGAGACCTCAGACTATCACTGCATGCCTGGAAAGCTACAAGCCTCCTTAATCACTGTTTTTACATGATTGTCACCATGCCAATATTCTGTCTTATTTTCCCATCCTACCAAGTGCAATCTCAGCCTGGTTTACTTTTCTCTCTATATAATATGGTTCCACTTTACATATTTTCCTTTGTTTTACTATATTGTGCCTATGATAGTCATTCTTGTCCCTATATCATCCCCTCTCTCAGGTTCCTCCACTCCCTCACACAATTTTACTTATTTCTAAAATTTATTTTTTACTCTTTTTCAGAGATAATTTTAAATACCTCCTCGTTTATCTTACTGAGTTCTGACCAAGAATTCCCCCGCCTGGGCAGTTTTCTGGTGTTACTGGTGTAATCAATCGCATCAGATGTTTGCACAAAGGATGTGTAAGTGACACCAGGCTGCCTGCAGGAGGAATT